CAGATTTTACTTCTGTTATTAAGCAGCAACTGTGGAGCTTAGCTACACCCATGCCAATCCAAGTTTTCTGTATTTTATTATTCTTTTATTAGTTCCTTCGAAACCTAGTTCATCTGATGCTACCTTTGAAAACAGTACTTGTATTAAACTTACTTGGAGTGAAACTGCTTGTGTACAATCATACAGCATTTTTGTTAATGATACTTTTGAAGATATCGTCAATGAACGGATGTACTTTTATTGCCCACAATCTTCTGGTGACTACGTTTTTCAAGTAGGTAGTATTAATTATTTTGGAGAACCAGTTCTTGAGCCTGATACTACTATTTACCATTGGCAAGGTATAGCATTCTATTTAATTATTGGTATGTATGATATTATATAGAACCTGAAAGTATTTACTTTATTACTGATAGCAACAGCAGCGGCTTATTTTTTACTGTTAAGGTAAAATTATTTCTGTAGTTTATATTTTTAATGTTAGTACAGAATGATGATAATTCTAATCGACCTCCAATTACCAGTTGTAGTGTTACATTGAATGATGAAGCAAGACCTTGTGAGATTGATGAGCCTGTCTTCTTTGATATATCATTTGGTTCTTACACTTACAATATTACAGTTACTAATGATGTTGGCTCAGTGTATAGGACTGGTAGTAAGTCTAACTAAAATTTTTTGTTTCTGATTGATATTAAACTCCTTTTAATAGGTCTATTTTTTGTGATATCACCACCAACAACTCCTGGTAAACTGTATCATTTGCAATAAATAATTTTAAATGAAAAATATAGAAAAACCTGATTTCTCTGTTAGTCCAATTGAATTTACTAGTCCATTCATTGTACTTGGAGTATTGATCATATTGTCTATTTGTTGGATTGTGCTAAGGATATGTTGGAAGAGACAATGTTGCTGTCCCAGGATTTGGAGGAGTAGCTTTTGGTTGCTTTTCTTCTGCTATGATTGTTGTACTTATGATGCTGGAGGTAAATACTTGTATATAACTTTATATCATTTATCTTTCATAGTAAAAGAAAGGGATACAATCGGTTCGAAGAATCCAAATATTGGAGGGGAGAAGGGAAATGATACTTCTCTTTGACTGGAGGACATTTTACAGACTATAAAATCATTTGTTTAGTTTTAAAATCTTGCTATTTCAGTGTATGCTGATTACTGTTGTGCATGTGGTTAATTTTGAATAATATCTATGATAATAATATAATATCTATGGTTTAATCCACATTCCAAAGCCCCTCCCCCATTATTCCACTCATTTCCTGCCACAGAAACATGCAATTATGCACATATATAATGTACAAACACCAGACATGGGGTAATAGTAATAGATAATACTAGTAATAGTAATAGTAAAGATTACATGTTTTGAAGTAATAGTAATAGTAATAGTAATGGAGGAATCAAAAACCAAGTAATAGCAACTGAGTGTGTGTGTGTATATATATTAGCAACTCTTGATATTAGATATACATGCATAAACTAACCACTGATAAATCCTGCATCTGGTGATTGTGGTAATGTTACTGTAGTAATACATGAAGAAAAACCTAATTGAGTATAAATTCCATTGGTGTTCATTATCAATAACTTACTGCTATCCATAAAACTGCTACTATGATATAATATTGACCTCACTGCACTAAAAGTGGAAGAGGTATTATATATGGCTTCAGTTGTTGTATCTGATTTTGCTATTGTCATCATTAATTGTGAGGCTGATGTAGCAATATCTTTGCAATGCTACCCTTATTTATATAATACATAAATGGACTTACTTGTTGGACTCGCCACGCTTGCGTAGGCGGGTACTATGCAGTTGGGTTGTCATTCTGTCATTCTGTCACGAAAATTCCTGTTAATTCCTAGTCAATATCTTTTTTACTGAGCTCTCCTGAGTTATAATTCTTTTTAAGCTTTGAGAAAAAGATAATTTATTTAGCTCCGTTGTGTTTTCATAGCAATCCGTGGTAGCAAAAGCCGAATATTTTCAAGAATGTACCACTTTTCCTAGCCAAATCTTTGTGTTTCACTCTATTTGGTCAAGATTAGCATTGATAGGTAGAGAAAAGTACATAGATTAAAAAATATGTGGGAATTTTCTAATCTCTTTTTTGTTTGCGAGTTACAGTTGCTCAAAGTTTGTGATTTAGCCTCTTCGAAAAATTTTTAGGCAGCACTGGGGAAAACAGGAGCAACCAAACTATCTCAGTCTCTTTTAAATATCTAGGCAAATTTTTTGTGCTTACTCTTTCTTTGAATAGAGCTTCAGATGCTAAAATAAATTTCAGCTTTTCTTCTTTCTCCTACCCACGTGCCATGTTTGCACTGCACTGCACTGCTAAGTGCTGACCACACCTAAAATTTATTTTATGGATCAGTGCAGTAATTGCATTGTTGCACTTTGCACTTTGTCAAAATCTATTATCCTTTTTTCAAATATCAAGTTGCTTGTATATA